GATACACAGGAGGCTATTAGGATTAATTGTAATATTGAAGGTATTTTGAGTGTTTTAGGGACCTTGTAACTAAGATAGGTAATCTGGTTTAGGAATAATTTAAGGACAGTGATTCTAGGGTTAAAGATGTCTCTTTCAGCGAACATGAAATCAAAGTAGAGAATGAAGGCCAAAAATTACACTTATTGTTTGTTCGTAGCAATGCATTTCAGCACCAGAGATAAGAATAATGTATTCTAACACGAGACAATATGTTGTAAAGCCGGGCGTGGCCTGGTAACTAGCGTGCCAGACAATGAATCTGCAGGTCCATCAAGCGCGTCCCAGCGCCGCTAAAACAGTTTGTTTGTTTTACTGATTTTCGCGCAAAGCTACTCTGCGCCAGCTATCTCAAATGATGAAACGATAGATTAGAAGGAAGACAACTAGTCAACACCTCCCACCGCCAACTCTTTTGACCAACAAATAATGGGATTGACTGTCGCGTTATAATTCCGCCACGGCTGAATAGGCGAGAATGTTCGGTAACGGGTTTCGATACCTCGATATCTCAGATTACGATTCGAGCGCCCTAACCACTAGGCCATGCCTGCCCCCTAAAACAATACCGGTAAAGAAACCTCGTGAATTCCGAGATATCACGTGAGTGTAAATATATTTATCTATCTATACCAAAGTCAACTCTTGGGCTACTCTTTTTACCAACGAATAGTGGGATTGACCGTTACATTATAACACTCCTTCGGCCGAAAGGGGCGAATATGTTCGATGACGGGGCGTCGACCCTGCAACCCTCAGATGAAAAGTAATACTCGTAAACAAAAAAAAAAAGAAAAAAAAAACACCCGCATAACTATACCCTGTACTATTCTTCCTCGTTAGTTAGCAGTCAACAGTAGAAAAATTGTTTTATATTTAAGTTTCATGTTGAATTTATTGTATTGTATATTAAAAGCGAAAAAAAAATCTATTTACTTTTAAAATATTTAATATAACAAATTCTACTAGAAAAGAAAAAAACATTAAAATATAATTAATTTTAATTAAAAAATTAAAACTATTTTATTTCTCAAATGTTTCTTAACTACTCAATAACTGCCGTTAATTAGGTGATTTTTCTAATAGAACAAGTACGTTATTCTTTGTGCCATTTCAAGCTAATAATTAACAGATTTGTTTAAAAAACATTATTTAACTGAAAAGCCCTTAGTGGCACAGCGGGTATGTCTGCGGACTTCCAACGCTATAAACCGGGTTTCGATACCCGTGGGTGACGGAGCACAGATAATCCATTGTGTAGATTTGTGCTTAATTACAAACCAACAGAAAAAAAAATCCCGAATACAATAGTGTGTTTGTGTTACTTTAGGCTAACAATTAACAACCTTGAATAATTTTTAAACGTTTTATAAATTTTGTGACCAAACATAAAGGTTGTTTTAGGTCAAAGCTAAACAATGGGCTATTTGTGCTCTGTCTTCATCCGGATGGCATCGAACCCCAGATTTTACCGTTGCAAGTACCAAAACTTGCCGCTCTCCTAATGAGCCATAAATCAAATAAAGTTGAATAATATTTATATTAGACATGCAATTAAAACTTTACAAGACTAAAAATGGCTTCATCATTACAAATGTAGTTTTCCAGATGGAGTACCAACCACCTGAAACCATTCCTGAGTCTTGCACGCACACACACTTTATTTTGTACACGAAAATTCGATTTACGAGTTCATTGTTAAAAGGTTAGATCAAAGAGACTTAAATGTACTTAATAGTTGAGCATTTAGTGTTAAGTGACATGGAACTGAATTTAAAGAAAGCTAAGTTCCAGATCCAGTTTCTAGAAACGCTTGCCGTACAGGTATAAGCTCTCCACGATAAGAGATGTTAGACGCTTTGCTGAGATACATTACTCTCTTTTAAGGCTTAGGATTAAAGTGTAGGAAAATCCTTTTATGGAAAGAAACGTGATTTAGACTTCTAAAAATTCTTTGTTTTAAATTACTTTCGGTGAAATGTTTATTTGGAGCATATGAAGATAAGAATGAAACGTGAAGGACTCCTCTTTGCTTAGAGGAACACTACTTTAATTATTACTGTAGAAACATTGGTTCTTGAAAGCATTTCAGATGCTCGAGGAGCACGATTTGTACACTAAAAATAATATTAAAAAAAAAAGTGTGATTGGGTTGTGATTCCAACAAATGCATTCCTTCGCATCCTTAATGGTGTAAACTGGGAACAAATAAGGTGTGAATTTATAAACAAAATGGAGAGTCATTTAAGTGGTGTGCGAAAATAAATTATTAACTAAATCACTTGCATTAATACAATTTTATGGTTACTATAAAATCTTACGAACATGCATTTTTCAGTTATTCTTTAAAATATTGCTATTTGTTATTTCGTAATTATCTTGTGGGTTAAAATCACCTTTTCTGACAACTTTTCTTGTTTGGGGTGTATCTCCGGTAATTCGCATCTGTTGAAGTATGAAATCGTAGTCTCTTATCGGGCGTTGTAGAAAATTTATGTTGGAATTAAGAAAACTTTTCGTCAAATAAACACTAGCTCGTCAGATTATTCTAACAAGATTTTATAATGCATAACATAGAAGTGTACTGGGGAGGAAAGTAACGGCATGGCTGTTAGAGGAGTTAACTCTACCCCGTCATCTAGGTAAGTAGCTTGCTCTGATAAGTTGGTAATTGCAATCTACATACGTAAAACTTTTATAATTTCCATAACCTTTAAATACAAATCATGTAATTTCTGGTAATAAAAAATCAACATTAAAGTATTTATCACACTGAGTTTAGTTCATAAACCAAATATGTTTCCTTTGTTTGATACTTGTTTCTGATTGTACTTCACTTGCTACGTCGGAAGAGGATATTATAACACGTTGTCTCATGTAATCTTACAAAGGGCACTGCACCGAAACATTTCAAACAAAAACCACATACTTTGTTTGTTATCGTGTTCTTCTTTTGCTCCAGTGTGTGATTAACACAACAATTTATTTTAACAATAGATATGCAAGGGTAACAATCGTTACAAAAAAACAACAAATGTATGTAATTGTTGCTGGCCCATAAAATCAAGATATCCAAGAGCCAAACATCAATTTCGCAATTATTATTATTATTTTACGTTAGCCAAACAAAAAATCTCGCGAAGTTTTTTTCATGAGTCAAATATCGCTCTTGTAACGTTTTTACACGAGTCTAATATATCTCTCAATTCTTTTTACACTAGACAAACAAAGATCTCGGCAGGTCTTGCAAAGTTTTAACAAGAGCTAAACATCGATCCCACAAATTATTTTTTTCTATGCAGCTTGATCTTTTTGAGAAGGTGTTTAATAACTATTACACTTGACAAACGTGGACTAAACCTCTCGGTCTAATACAAGTTTTATTTACTTCTTTGGAGAACATTAATTTAACTAAAAATAATGTCTTCCCTTCGAGTAACTTGGATTCAATCATCGAGAAATGTCTTGAAGGAATGTCTCTTTTTAACGGAACAAATCGATATAATTTTTACGACTTCTGAACTGAGACCAATTAACTGTGCTTCAAGCAACCGAATTTCAATGAATTTTCGGAAAGCAAATCACTACAGGAATAACTGTAAACTAACCCTTAATCTCCCCCTCCCCTCCCCCGAAGCATGATTAGCGAATACCAGAAACTAAATTAAGGACTGCCAGGATAAACCGCCAGGAGTTGGGAGTTAATGGTACTTGTAACTAAGGCAACAAGTTTCTTAGAAGAAAAAAGACTGTTTTAATTTCAGCTAATCTTTAGTTATTGATACACTACACTTTAGCCTACTGCCAAAAAGTTATTTACTAATTATAGACTATTTTTTTTTCTTTTATATAATTCATCAATTCTAATCTTAATTATCTTAACGTGGTACTACTCTAATATTTTGAAGTATGTCATTTTTCTAAGCAAGTTATTTGATGGATATATTAAGTAGTTCGTGTAGACTAGTGTAATAGGTAAATTGCGATAACTAGAGGCTCCTGTTTCCTCTCAAATACATTTATATAATTAGTCTTGTTCAGAATAGCAGTGTAATCGAGATTAAAAAAAGTTTGTCTGGATTTCGCATACAGTCACACGAGGGTTATCTGTATTAGCTGTTCGTAATTTTGAAGTGATAATAGACTAGAGGGAAGGCAACTACTCAACACCACCCCCCGCCAACTCTTGGGCTACTCTTCGCAGACCAAATAGTGGGATTTGACTCTTATAACGCAGCGCAGGTAGCCCATTGTGAACCTTTTTCAACTTGTACTACTTTTATCTCGTAAACATTCTACATTTTACGTATTTCGCCACCTAGTGGCACAGCGGCATGTCTGCGGACTTACAACGCTAGAAACCGCGTTTCGATACCCGTGGTGGACAGAGTATTTTGAACAAAATACAAAAATTATAAATTTTCTGTAGTGCATATTGGCATAGTGCATATATAAAAGACACTTTAATACTAGAAATAAAAGACCTTAAAACATCAAGTTTATCTTTCTTTAAATGGACACTCAACGTTTCGTTTTACAGCTTCTTGGTGAGCTTTCCACTAAGATACAAAACGTAAACGACAACACAAAGTTTCGAAACTCCTTACGGCGTTGTGTACATTTATATATATATAAACTAATCTAACTTAAGAAAATGTCAATAAGAGGAGGAATTTTATATCGGGATAAAAACGGCTAGGTTCTTAAACTGTGCCTAAAATTTTATCGATCAAACTATGAACCAAACAGTTGTGCTCATACACACCAAAAACGAAAAATGGAATTTTAAATGGTTATAAACATCTCCGATTCGCAATTTGGCAATAATGGGTTCATGTCATCTTAAACATAGACCATGTTACAACTCTTGTGGTTTTTTCCTACTATTTCATTCAAACTTTTTTCACAATCTTAAAAAAAAATAAATAACTTTATGAAATGTTCGTTATTCTATTTCCTAGACAAGTTTCCGATCAGACAGCTAAAACGTATGATCATAACATGTCTGGAAATGGAAGCCTTTTAGCTTTGGTGTTGGTGTGGTCGACTGTGGTAGTGACCTGGAGCCAGAGACCACCATGGAAGATACGTGAACCTTGTTCCCTCCACGATATAGCCACCATAGACGACTTGGAAGAGTTAATCCAGCTTACTGCTTCAAGTCTTGGAGTAACAGAGATGTCGCTACTGAGACAACTCCAGGGGCATCTTGACGAAAAGAGGCATTTCTTGGTAAAGTTTATTTTGTCACAACTTGTAGCTTAGTGACTACTTATTATAAAAGTTAAGTTCAAAAAACGACGACAAAAACAATCAAGACTTGAAACTTATCTTGTTATATAAATAATGTTATAAAAACATAAACTGCTCCCATTAATCGGCTGGAAGAGCCCTTTAGGGGGCGGGTACTGCTGGCTGTTTGTCTTCTATCTGACTGGTAGCTCAAAATTAGAGGTGTCTTCCAAATATTTTTTTTTTTAAATCAAACATGATAATTATTAAATCTACAACTGGGCTTCATTGGTAACTTTAGTGTCTTGGTTATAAATTTTATTCAAGCTAAAGCTACTGTTTTTTTGTCCCTTAAAGCATTGTGTGTGTGTGTGTGTGTGTGTGTGTTATATTACAATAGTCTATTGTCTACGTTATTCAGCTCTCCTATATATAATATATCCCGTTGGTAGATATGCTTTAACGGCCTCTGAGTTCTATTATTATTATTATACTGGTCAACAGTAAATACTGAAGGTGATTCTGAGCTCTTTACTTTACTTTCTTATATGTAGACCTTTTTTTTTCCTCATGTTTTATTATGAAACTTTCTGTAGAAAAAAAGTACGTGTTATCTAATGTACCAGTAAGTACTCAACTCATCCTTCCTTGTTGGAGAAGCCATGGTTAGCGTGTAGGACTGCGGATTGAAGGGTTCGGGGCTCTAGACGTGATGCTCCACATTTTCAGCGTTATAAAAACGACAATCAGTCCCGTAATTCGGCTCAAAGAGCCCTTGAGGTGGTGGGTGTTATTAGCTGTTTGCCTTCTCTCTGGTCAGTAGTTCGAAGTTAAAGATGGCCACGTCTGTATCCTAGGGTTCTCTAACTTGCCCGTTTTGCTTACGCAAGATTCAGATAAGAATTTTCCATTCCTGGAAGAGCCAGTGAAACGGATAGGGGAAACAGAATGACAGTAATTTCCACTTTATTTGGGACGAAGCAACTAGGATTCCTAAGCTTTAAAAAGCGAGGAAACAACACTGTTGTTTCTTTTATGTATGTATGCTTGCTGCATCCGCTGCAAAGATTGAATCCCTAATTCCAACATTATAATTCCTCACTCTTAACATTAACTCATGGGGAACCTAATATAGATAGAGAATCCGCTAAAACACTTTGAAATGTTCATCCAGGATTCATCCGCGTACGTGCTGTTTCTTACTAGTTTTTATATTACGATTGTTCGTTTGTTTGAATTTCGCGCAAAGCTACACGAGGGGTATCTGCTCTAGCCGTCCCTAATTTAGCAGTGATAGACTAAAAGGAAGGCAGCTAGTCAAAACCACCCACCGCCAACTGTGGGGCTACTCTTCTACCAAAGAATAGTTACAGCACCCACACGGCTGTTCGATGATGGGATTAGAACCCGTGACAAGCAGGTTTTGTACTAGGAAGTTGCACGTTTTATATTGAGACACAACAGTGAAAGGACCGCTAGTGCAGATAATCCTTGAGTAGTGTTACGTCTCTGGTCGTTTGATAATTTCCCGTAAAATTTCTTTCCGATTTACTTCAGCGATACAAGTCCTTTCTTAATTAAAACTAGTTTATTCTTTCCAGTTATAAGCTTTGTAATACACTTAATTTCCACAGTCACTTTAAAGTTAACTACATTTATAAACACACGCTATAATTCACAACGATTCCCGCACTTTACTTACTGTGCCTACAGCTCGCTTGACTCAATTATCTATCTCTATATCTGTCTATCTGCAATTATTTGCCGGGCTTATATACTAAAATAGAGGGGGTCTGGCAAACACTCGGGCCTCCATGATCCTTTTAGAAACTCGCACGTGTTACCAGGATCATGTGACTTCCGCTGTCGTAACAGTAGCTTTGCGCCAACATCCGAAAACAACATTGAAAGTAAGTTAATTGTGAACGTTTTCTTCTCTAGTGTGTGTGTGTGTGTGTGTGTGTGTGTGAGTGAGTGTGTGTGTGAATGTGAATGACGTAGAGTAGTTCTCACTCTTTGTTTGAAACTTTTCTTAAAGTACAAACACAGGCCTAATTTAAAAAAATTAATTAATAGTTAAAAAATAAAAACATTTTGAACACTTGCACAACATGTAAGAATTCTTATGTGATTTGTTTTTCTTTTATTGTTTTTTTCTGGTAAACTTTAAGAATATGTGGGGGGCGATTTTTGTCAACTTTAAGAGACTAAAAGAGTTGGCGGGGGGAGGGTGTAGTCTAGAAATCTGGAGAGTAGTGTGTATGTAGACGAGTAGATCAAGTTGAACTTATTACAAATTTTATAATTTCTTACATTAATTGTTTCGCGTACTACTGACATCAGCTCCACGTACCATAGTTTGAAAAGCCCTGGTGTAATATAGTCTCTGATTCTGTTCAAACCCCAAGTATTGAAAGTTGAATATGATAGCTCATCGTATTTCACGCGTTCTCATTGAAAATAAATGATTGACTGAGTAGTGAGGGAATGGAGACTTGACCCTTCTCCGCTGGCGAACGAATTAAATAAAAACTTTTTCCAGGCATATGACTTTCATATGGAGTTGTATATATTATGGGGATCAAACCCCGAATTTCAGCGTTTGGAGCTCTCAAGCTTACCGCCAAACCACCTGAAGACAATTTTTGGAACAGGTCACTTTAACATGTCAAATATAACTTGTTACTTTAGATGGAAATAACAGGTTCACGCTCAAAAATTAGGACTTTGTGTTATTACATTATTTAACTTTGAGGTAAAAAATCAGTAGTTTATATACGGCATGTCTACTTGTATTTATATTGGTGGAAGAATATGCTGCAATTAGAGGTAAATATAACGGCAAATAACCCTAAAATCCGGGGTTCGATTCCCTTGATGGACACAGCTGAGAGAGAGAGGGAGTTATGTGGCTCGTGACTCAATCACCATTGTGTTTTTCGACCTCTCTGAACAAGAGTAAGTTGACTAAATAAACGAAACTACTATTATATTTTGTGTAGCTATACTTCCCAGGTGTCTCAATATCAAGTAAAGGTCTAGTGTTTTTTGTTGTTGGTTTTTGTTTTTCAAAGTGAATCAATCTTTCACAGATATAAGACTTGGAAGTTTTGATATCTTGTATGCTTCCTTTTTTGACAAACATAAAATGGTAAGTGTTGCTATTTATTTCATTTAGTCAGTTTTGTTTATATAATAGAAAAAATAAATGTTTGAAATTTGAACTAATATGGCGTTGTTTAGGGTTATAGTTATGTAGAAACAAGCCATTAGAGTAAAAACCGTAACTTGTTCTCGCGGCATTACTTTCGTGGAATGAAGACTGACACCTTGGTAATTATAGTATTTTGGCACTTGTGTATAAAGTTAAAATCATAAATAATATTCAAACACAATTAAAAACATTTTATTTAGGCCTATCTATGGCCTCCAAAGGGATGACGTTGTAACGTCGAAACATGTAGAGTCGTCAACTTTTTG